AAGTTCTTTTAGAATGAGACCAGTAGCTCAGAGTGCCTTTATAAACCATTTAATGACCCATATGCAAATAAATCGCTTAACTTTCTTGGCTGCAATTTTCTCATGTGATATGAGGCCGATAGCACCTACTCTGACTGCTTAGGGTTTTGTAGGGAGCCACACAAATCACAATCTGGAGAGCTTTTAGGAAGCACTGAAGCCCCTTCCAAACAGCAACTTCTCCATCCTAAAAAAGTAATACAAGCAACACCAGCAGAAGCTGCCTTCAAGGGGTTAATGTACGTCCCATGAGAACCATTTATCTTCCCTGTGCACGTACTACCTCTGTTATAAAGACAAGAAGTAAAATTTGTGAACAAGGGAATCCTTGCTAGCACCATCACAATGAAGTCACTTCCCAAGTGTCAGCATTCACCTCTCCTAATACAGAAGATGCTCTTGGTCAGACCTTTAATGTGGCATAAAATAACAGCAAGGAAAAGGCTATTCCATAGCCAATTTAACTTCCAGTCTTCTGATTAAGGCAGCAAAGTACTTCATTAACAGCACTCATTAATCTCCCAGTCTAACAAACATCATATACTCCAAAGCCATGGGCAAACATCTCCAGTTATTTTTTTTACTTAGATAGCATTTATGTTTGCAGCATTTCTTCTATCAATGGGAAATATTAGTTTAACATTGACAGTAAATGTATAATTTCTAATATAAATTTGCTTATATAAAAAGCATAATTTGCTTTAAATGAAACATTAAATAATATAGAAGTCAGTAGAAATGAAAATTGTTTAGGTATTAGCAAATGAACGGAAATTTAGAGAACATCAGAGAAGCTATCTAGGGAAAATACACCAAAAAGCATCTTGCCCTCCAAATTATCAGGAGGCTTACAACATGCTGCAGCAGTCAAGCCAGATGTTAATTATAAGTAAAATATTTAACCTGCGTGGGCTTCAGTTTCCTCCTAAGTAAAACTGGAAGTCCCTAAGTTGTAAGGTTAATGATGTCTGTGAAAGTGTTCTTCATGGGTTTGATCAGTGTCCACAGGAGGCCTATGCGACAGGGGGATGGATGAAGGCAGGAACTGAAGTCCAAGAGGCAGGAATAGCAGCCAGATTATGAACCCCTGTGAACCTCAATGGGACTTTATGTTCTGGAAGGTTGGAGTCACTGGTAGTTTCTGAGTAAAAAAGTGTAGGTACAGGCTCACACTTGTGTCTTACTCTGCCCACTGTGTCGGAAGTAAATGAATGTCAGTAGTGTTCCACAGTGTTCTTTTTCATGGCTGCATGTGAGTTTCTCTGAGGCCAGACATAGAGCTAGTTGCCAACTTTTTCAATTAGTTTTCAGTGGTGTCATTTACAACCTGTTCATAGTCTCCATCTCTGTTGCATAGATATAAGTCACTTGAGGAAGATTTATAAGCATGCAAGTTCTCCATAGCATCGTACTATTTATATTACTGTTGTGGCTTTTATAGTTTCTTTTATCGGTGACATTAAAGTTTATATATAATGAACACTCATTATTCAGCACACTGGAAAGCATTTTATTGTGCTATCTCATGGGACAGATACTATCTTAGTTTACTGAGAGGTAAACTGAGGCTTTAAGGCATCTAGCAAATTGCCTCAAGCCACATGGTTAGTACACGTCAAATTGAGGACTCGAACCCAGGTCTCTATGATCACAAAGTCTGAGCCTTTAACTCAGGTAAAAGATAACTTACTACAATATATTGATCCCTCTTTTTAAGAAGTTACTACAAAATATGAAAAGATATCAGCTTCCAAAAACACCATATTTAATACAAGGGTATAGATCTGTGAATTTAATCATGATGTTGATTTACAGAAAATTATGATGATCTCAACTCCAGCATTAAAAAAAAAAAACATTTTTAGTTTGTTTTAAACAGGAACCAGACAGCAGAAGCAGTATATAAGAGTCAAGCACATAGCCTTGGCGGCAGATGGCCAGACTTAGAATCTTGGCTCCTTCACTTCCTAACTCATGGCATTGCACACTGTATTTAACCTCTTTCTGCCTTAGTTTCCCCAGTTTTAAAATAGAAACAGGATTAGCATGTTCCACAGTGCTGTTGTCAAGATCAAATGAGTTAACACATGTGAACTTGAAATAACACTTAGCACATAGTAAGTGGTCAGTAAATCTTATGTACTGTTAGTATTTCAACATTAAATTTAACAATGCAGACATAATTTTTTCAATTTTCAACTGAATGATCTTCACAAGATTTTATTCTTATTTCTCATCTGGATGGCTTTTTAAGACTCTATCTGACTATGATGACTATGAATAATGGCAGTCACTGTTTTATAGTTTAAATTATATAGTAACTATGAACCCTATAAAATATGTAAAATTGGAAGAATAGAGTTACAAGAAATGATACATGACAAAAGAGGATATGGAAGATATGTTTACAGTGATTAAATATTGTTCAATATATACATGTATTGAAACATAACACAATACCCCATAAATAAATAAAAATTTTGTCAGTTAAATTTTTTAAATTATTAAGAGGCAAGAATCCATATTTTATATTTATTCCTCTAACGCCTTGCTTAATACCTGGCACATTAATCACAAATTAAAGTTTGAATGAATGCATGGATAAATAAATGAAATAAGGTACCAGACTGCACATGAACAGAAAGTAGTGATTTCGGAGTCAGTCTGGCTTCACTATTTATAACTAGTCTTCCAATTTCTATTTCAAACCTAACACTTGAGTTTCTTTATTCCAATGCTTATTAATATTGAAACAACTGTAGATAATTGCTTTTTTACTTGTTTTGTTTATACCTCTACCTCATTTCAGAAAACAGTGAAGATGACATACAAGGATATGTAAAACCCAAGATGGATTAATTAACAATGAAGCAGAGGCCGGCACCGCGGCTCACTAGGCTAATCCTCCGCCTAGCGGCGCCGGCACACCGGGTTCTAGTCCCGGTCGGGGCGCCGGATTCTGTCCCAGTTGCCCCTCTTCCAGGCCAGCCCTCTGCTGTGGCCAGGGAGTGCAGTGGAGGATGGCCCAGGTGCTTGGGCCCTGCACCCCATGGGAGACCAGGAAAAGCACCTGGCTCCTGGCTCCTGCCATTGGATCAGCGCGGTGCGCCGGCCGCAATGCGCCGGCCGCGGCGGCCATTGGAGGGTGAACCAACGGCAAAGGAAGACCTTTCTCTCTGTCTCTCTCTCTCACTGTCCACTCTGCCTGTCAAAAAAAAAAAAAAAACAATGAAGCAGAAAAACAATTTTAATTTTTAAAAAATGAAGAGGGAAGGCCAAGGGAAAAGAAGTATGGGCATATATAGCAAAGTAAAAAATAAGGTTAAACTGCCAATGCCAAACTCTTTACCTAGAATAGAGTAAACTTTGTATAAAGTTAAGTGAAAATAGATCTTAGTGAAAAACAGGACTGGGAACAGGAGAGCAAAGAGGAAGAGGGGTAGGAGTGTGGGTTGGAGGGTGGGTAGAAGGGAAAGAATCACTCTGTTTCTGAATTTGTATTTATGAAAAGCATGCAAATTAATTAATAAAAATGCCAATGTCATAAAAACTAGGATTTAGTCATGAACTGGTCCTCAATGGTACAGAGCCAACGCGATGTAACCAGTGAGTTACATAATCCATGACCACCACTAGATGAAAAGAGACCAATCATTCACACAATTCAGCTTCTTCTGCAAGTAGAGCCTCCAGGGCACTCGCCAGGAAGGTCAAACCTAACCAGCACGGGGCACAACAGCAGCGTGACAGCTAAAAGCTCTCTGCCTATAGGTCATGAGAGTCTAATGCCAAGGTCTTCAATGATATCATGAGGACAGGGTAACCTGAACAAGTCCCGGTCATCATGCTCTTGAGTGAGAAACAAACACACCATGCTTTCTACTTGAGGCACTGATTTAAAATAAAGGAGCAGCCCATTTCTATCGATGCATCAGACTTCATGGTTTCTTTCCACACCATCGTGAAGCAGCACACAACATGTGTCCAGTAGCTGAATATAAATATAGGTGATCTGGAAAATTGTCCTAGTCAGTGAAACATACTCTGCTTACCCCTTAGAAAGTGACTTCCACTAGCCACCTCTTGGAATCAACAGGAAGCTATGGAATTAGCCCCCTCTGGAAGTACACAGATGCTGGTTCTCTGAAATGGTCATTGCCTTACATACAGAAATATTGTATGATGTGGGCCAAGAAACTTGTTTCCCCTGCACACACAACAGGTGGCTTTGATGCCAAACACATCAGACTTCAACTCTGGCTCCACCACTTTCTATGTGTTACCTTATGTAGCTGAGCCTCAGTTTCTCTATCTTTAGAATGGATGTTATATATAACTACATAAAAGGATTATAATAAGGAAAATTTTACTTAAAACTTCTCATCCATGGTAAGCACTTAGAACACATAGCTATTATTGTCTCCCACCTTTTTAAACACATCTGCAGGCATTGCAATAAATAACTTGTAGGTTTGCTGAATTAAAAAGTGAATAAATGAGTAAGTAGTGACATCCAGAAGTGTTTAACAACTGGTAAGTCTCTCTACATATTTGAGATCATGACAGCATTTTAGTTAAGTGGTTGGACTCAGTATTGGATCCCAATACATTCCCTGCCTATCTTTCATGTTCTAGACATGTTGTTCAACTGTTTTCTGAGTTTGTAATCTACAAATAGGATGATGGTAAAAACTCCCTGACAGGATGCTATGAGAAAATTAGATTATGGTTATCATGTCCTTAGCATTACTCCTGGGACATAATAAGCATTGAATAAACACTACAATTATTTATATACAAGTATCATAAACCTTCTGTTCTTTGTTTTTCATCATGTTTCCTCTATTCCAATGTTACAGAATATTCTAAGTTTCCAAAAGGCCAAATAAGTACATAAACTTAACCATTTGCTTTTAGAATTCATGTTCCCCTTTGCTGTTTGCTCTCTTCTGTTTCTGTAGGACTTCATCGTCACCGTAGTCTTTTCCTTCCTGTGGTTGGTGGGTTCATCTGCTTGGGCGAAAGGACTATCTGATGTCAAAGTTGCAACAGACCCCAAGGAAGTCTTATTACTGATGTCAGCTTGCAAACAGCCATCCAACAAATGCATGGCTGTCCACAGCCCTGTCATGTCCAGCCTCAACACTTCCGTGGTGAGTAGGCTTGCATGTGTGCTTTCCTTCCCAAATCTCTGTGTGTCAAAGGAGTAAGACTAGTATCTCAGAAGTCATCTTGGAAATTTCTGCCTCCAAAACTAGACCTCTCAAAGAGGTGATCTTTCACCTCAGGTGCAATGTGATGCTTTGGCCTTCAAATTCTTTATTGTGAGAAGCCGTAGACTTGAATGCCACCCATTGCAGAGTTCTTAATGAGTACACAGCAGGTATTAGCAGCTGCTGTTTAGATAACAGTCAAGTCAAAATTTCCAGCCAGAAGCAAATGTAAAATCTGAGCTTTAATCCTGAAGCTTGTCAGAGAAGTTGAAAGGACTATGTGATGGCAATAGAAGTCTATTCCTGGGAAGAAACATGAAGCCACATGTAGATCACACCTTATTGATTAAAGAAAAAAACACAGACCTAGTAGGCTACAAAAAGAAATACAGTACATGGTATTAAAAGGTACTTCTAGTGGTTATGGTAATGTATTTTTGTCTTCTCTGTGCTCCCAGTTTAATTACTTGATGATTTTAGAAGATCGGCATTATAGTAGTTGAACAAAGTCAAATATTATTAACAAGTATTTAGCTCTAACAAAGAGAGACAAGCTGACACCAGGGACACTAAATTGGATTCTTAATTTATAAGTGTTAAAACTTGTGTTATTCTAAAAAGAGAAGCTCTCTCTCACAAAGACATAAACTGTAGTGGCCGGGAAAAGCAGCAGTCATCAACAGATACAAGGCTCAACCATGTTTGTTGAAGCAACAGCATTCTTAAGTAAACCCTAAGAAAAAATTATCTTTTCTTCAAGGTTAGCCTGTGTTTGTACAGCTTTCTCAAATTCAATCTGGGAAGACAGTTAAGAAAGGGGAAAATGTTTCTACTCTGGTCCTGATGACTTGACTGAATCCTGCCTTGGTGAGATGGTAACCATGGAAATAAACTATATACGAGGGTCTCGAAACTTTTTATTAACTATTGGCCATATATGCATATGAATAGTTCAAGGTATGCATTAACAAATATAGTTATTATTCTGTCATTTGTTTCTGGACAGTGTTTAATAGAAGCTATTGTCACTCTGATCTCAAAGCATAAAGGGACAAAAATCAAATTACTTGATGTATCTCTTAGTCCAATCATCTCCTAATAAATTATGAGACCCTGTATGTTCCCTTTAATTCCACTTCTGATATCTCTAATAAACTTTAGATTAAAATAGGAATTATGAGTGAAAAACAAAATGATGTGCTTGTAAAACCAAAAAGAGAGTCATATTAAAATCAAATCATATGTTGTGCTTGTAGGTATGTATCTATGTCCCTGAAGAGCCTTTTAGTTCCTTGTGACAGGAAACTCCTTTCCAACTGGTCAAAGTAAAACAATCCGGTATTGGTGAAATTTGTTCTTTGCACCCTTCTAGTACCAGTATCTGTATGCCCTGTATTTGGATTGCAAGTCACAGAAACTGACTCTGACTTTGTCAGGGTGAAAAGTTCTTTGGGAAGCTATCAGGGAGCTCATCAATTTGATGTAACCTGAAGAAACAGGCTCTAAAAAAATCAGAATCTAGAGCAGATCCAGGGTTCTAGGTGTAAGGTAGCATACAGCTCTTCAAGACGTCCCTATTGCGAAGCAAGTTTTACCTAACCTTGTATTACTCTGCTCTAGAGGCAGGGATCTGGGAGCAAGCTCAAGACATTGGATTGCAACTTGGCTCTGCAAAGGAGATCAGGGGAAAGCTTATTAGCCAAAACACAACTTGTTCTTTTTCGTGACAACTTGTTTGTCTTCAACTCATTGAGCCAGCTTATGCAAACAGAAATAATTGGAAAGAAATGTTTGAAATGTGTCTTCCCAGGGCAGAACCCAGGGCCAGGAACTGGACATCCATCAAAAAATTGGACTGTTCTCACCTTCCATTCTTCTTTACTGTTTCTGCTCATCTGTCTCTTCATCTGTTAAAATACTCCCTTTTCAGATACAATTTTATCTCTTTTTCTATAAATACAGAAGATAGCTTCTCTAAAGTTTATAATATTGTAAGTTTTTAAAGAAACATGTTGTAATTAACTAAAATAGCTGAGGTCCAATTCCAAATTTCTTGACGACAGAAACTCATTGACCCACCTTAGGCCAAGTGTCTACCTTGGTCTTATCAGTTATGGCTAAAAAGCTTGGGGAATCATGTAGTCAAAGCATTCATCCAAAGAACCCACCTTTTTGGGCAAAGTTTTAGAGAAGGAGCCAGACACATCCACAATAGATGTTCTCTACAAGTAAATGGAAGTAATGATCTCATTTTCTACCACTGGTAACAAATGTACTTTCTTCAAAGTACTTTGGCTTCTGAAAGCTCACAATAAAATAAAATGTAGATGAGCTAGCCAGTTTCTACAAACATGGGCAGCTGAGTTTCAGGGGCTTGTTTAAGATTTCCTGAGTAGTTATAGCCATGCTTGAGCTACAGGCAAATTCGCCTAATGCTCTTGCCACTCAAATAAGGGCACAGTTTCCTCCTTACCTGGACCAAGATTTGGCTTTGCTACTCAAAACTATAATTGGCTGTCCTTAAACAAAATAATTAAGCTCTCTAAACTTTAGTTTAATCCCCTGTAAAATGAGGGTAATTATAGAACAGACCTCAAGACTGTTGAAAGGATTCAGTGAAATAAGCCGTGAAAACCCCTTGTCATGGTGCCCACCACAGGACCAAAGCTCATTATGTATTAACTGGAACCTGCGAGTGAAATGTACTCATTTTCTGAAATGTCATACAGTGTTAGATCCCAGAGAGGCGTGGGATTGAGAGAGCCTCTAAATCTTTGTTTTGATGGTTCACTGACATAACTATTTTTGTATATAATTTATTTGGCTGCTTCTCTGGCTTCACAACAGGCAATCTAGACACATCTCTTTGGCTAATGTAGATTTCATCTACCCATTCCTTCTCCTGGTATGTATAGTTTCTTTCCATCTTTCTTTCTATTGTCCTCACATCTGAGTTCAATCAAAATCCTCACCTTGACTTTCTTTGCAACAAAATGGCATGGAAAGTCAAGGGCCCATGTGCCTTAAAATACTGCAGCCAAGAGCAGTCTGATTGATATTTCTATGCTGACCATGGAGTAAGAAATCATTGTTCCTTAAATGTGCCCACTGAAATGTTTTATTTGTGTTTCTATTTTTAGTTGCATTTACCCAATGTCTAGGTTCCTCTTGAGGCTATCATTTTTAAAATCAAGTATCATAGGGAAAATGAAGAGTTCAAAAGATAATAATCTGGCAAAATTATAGTCCAGATAGAGTCATCCCTTCCTATGTGAAAAGACTCCTTGCTAATTTTCCCACTCATGTCTTGATAAATACTTATAAAGGCACAATTTATTTAGTATCTCCCCTTTAATGGAAAATATCCTAGTTACTACACACATGGTTCAAAGGTTCTGTATCTAAGTTACATTTTGGTCTGTGATTAGCTTGTTAGTTTTGGTCAAGCAACTGTTAAATTTTATGTTTTCCATCACTCTCTGCAAGTAGCCTATGGAATGGCACAAAATAGGCCAAAACAGGCTCTCAGTTAATATTAAAGGAAAGAGGAAGGGAATAGAAAAGAAGGAGTAGAAAAGAAGGAAGTGAAGAAGGACAGGAAGTCTAGATAAACCAGTGTTCAGATAAACTAGATTCCGTTACATCAGCAGAGGCATAGTGACTCTGTTCTGGGCATTGTCATCTCTTGACAATCTGTCCTATCACAGCTCCACTTCAGTTTATACTGCAGCAAAATAGTCAATGAAATGCAACTCACAAACATTTTTTAGAAATGGATTTAGAGGATCAGTTCACATTCAATATGTTTGTCCTTTGTCTAACACTGTTTGGCTACTTTACACATGATCTCTTGAATTGTCCCACTATCCCGTAAGAAATTACTGTCTTCTTTTTATAAACAGAGAAACAAAACTGAAGTCTTGAGATTAAATCCTTTGTACAGGGTCATAGAGAAAGAATACAGTGCCTCAGCCACTATAATTCCAAAGCCCATGGAAATTATTCCAAAACTCAAAGACACCCAGTATGCTGTAATCCACCTACTGCTTAAATATCGATATACTTTAGTAAATGGCCCCTGATAAAAGTCCCACAACTTGACTGCACAAGAAGCCCTCCTCACTCCCAAAACAGCACTCTCCAGACCACCTCACCATCCAAAAACTAAGGGATTAATTTTGACTCAGCAAGGAACTTTCCAACACCTGCTATAGAACTATGAGGACTGTCCAAGTCTATTTTGAATGCTCTGTGTCATGCTAAAGAGGTATTAAATATTCTTTGTATTACACTTTTGTTATCTGTCTCCAGTAGGGGGCTGTTCAGTTAGAATAGATATTATTTTAAAAAATAAGAAAAATATGCCAGCACCGTGGCTCGCTGGGCTAATCCTCTGCCTGCGGCGCCGGCACTCTGGGTTCTAGTCCCGGTTGGGGTGCCGGTTCTAGACCCGGTTGCTCCTCTTCTAGTCCAGCTCTCTGCTGTGGCCCAGGAAGGCAGTGGAGGATAGCCCAAGTGCTTGGGCCCCTGCACCCATGTGGGAGACCAGGAGGAAGCACCTGGCTCCTGGCTTCAGATTGGCACAGCATGCCAGCCGTAGCGGCCATTTTGGGGGTGAACCAATGGAAGGAAGACCTTTCTCTCTGTCTCTCTCTCTAACTCTGCCTGTCAAAAAGAAAAAAAAAGAAAAATAACAAATGCTGGTGAGGATGCATATAAAGGTAAATTCTTACTCATCTATGGTGACAATGTGTATTAGTATAGTCATTATGGAGAATGGTATGGAGATTTCCAAAACTGCTATATGATCCATCAGTCTCACTACTGGGTATATATCTGTAGGAAAGAAAAATCAGGATGTTGAAGAGATATTTGCACACCCTCATTCATTGTCACACAATTCACAATAGCTGAAATATGAACTCAACCTCAGTGTACATGCAGAGATAAATGGATAGAGAAATGTGATATATATATCTCTCTCTATAGATGTGTACATACACTCAGTGGACTATTTGTTCATGAAAATAATAAAATTCGGTAATTTTTCAATTTTTAGATTTTTTATGTTAATATAGTGCTTGTACATAGTGCTTGTACATTCTTAAGAGGTACCGTGCAATATTTCAACACTTGTATACAGCATAAACTAATCAAATCCAGTAATTAGCATTTCCATTTCTCCTTTTCTTTAGGTTTGGAGCCTCCCAGCTCCTCTCTTCCATTGCCATATACAGTCTATCATACATTATCGCAAACTATAAGCACTCCACTCTGCTGTTGAACACTAAAATCTATTTTACCTGTGTTTGGGGGCCTGACAGCCAACATTCCTCCATCCTCCTTCCCTCCACCCTTCCCAGTCTCTAGTAATCCTCATTCTAAGTTTAGGTTGACTTTTTAAACTTGACATATGAGAGAGATTATGTGATATTTATCTTTCTGTGTCTGAAATCCTGTCATTTGCAGCAACAGGGATGGAACTGGCGGACATTATGTTAAGGGAAATAGACCAGGCACACCCACAAAAAAATAAATAGGACATGTTCTTATTCATAATGAGAAGCTTAGCAAGTTGGTGTCATAGAAGTAGAAAGTAGAATAGTCATTACACAGACTGGTAAGGGAATGAGTAAAGGGGCATAGAGAGAGGTTGGCAGTTGGGTAAAAAATATGGTTAGATAGGAGGAAAAAATTCTAATGTTCTGTAGCACATTAGGGGACTGTAGTTAACAATGACTTATTAAAGGTGTGAAAACTATAGCCGGCGTCGCGGCTCACCAGGCTAATCCTCCACCTTGTGGCGCCGGCACACCGGGTTCTAGTCCTGGTCGGGGCGCCGGATTCTATCCCGGTTGCACCTCTTCCAGGCCAGCTCTCTGCTGTGGCCCAGGAAGGCAGTGGAGGATGACCCAAGTGCTTGGGCCCTGCACCCCATGGGAGACCAGGAAAAGCACCTGGCTCCTGCCATCGGATCAGCGCGGTGCGCCGGCCACAGCACGCCAGCCGCGGCAGCCATTGGAGGGTGAACCAACGGCAAAGGAAGACCTTTCTCTCTGTCTCTCTCTCTCAATGTCCACTCTGCCTGTCAAAATAAATAAATAAATAAATAGGTGTGAAAACTAAAAAAAGAACTTAGAATGTTCCCAACACAGTGCACATTTTTTACATGTATCAGAATAACACTCTGTGCATCCTAAACATGTGTGTATAATTATTATGTGTCAATTAAAAATAATATCAATAAATTGAGGGCTGTTAAAACAGACAGCCTGTGGCTGATTCCCAAGCCAACCCCCAGCCTTGATCAAAGCTGCAGGACAAGCCACATCCTGAGGGCCTCTGTTTGGACCATTTGCATGGCCAACAATTCTTCTTCCACCAAACACAAGGCCCTGGGAAAGCTCTGTCCTCTCAATCACCTTCTGCAGAGTAAGAAGAAATTCGATGGGCAAATCCCACGCCTTTCCTTGAAAAAAAAAGACATTTTATATCTCTTGGAATCTATACTTCTCCCATAGTCGGTTTCACAGTTCACTTTTAAAGTGAGAAGCAAGAAAGTACAACTCTGCAGAGACTCGTGTTCCACATACAAGAGCAGTTTTAAAAATTCATAGAAAATTGGATTAAAACAGTTGGTTTTGGTGTAAAAAAATACCTCTGAAGGCCGGCGCCGCGGCTCACTAGGCTAATCCTCCGCCTAGCGGCGCCGGCACACCGGGTTCTAGTCCCGGTTGGGGCGCCGGATTCTGTCCCGGTTGCCCCTCTTCCAGGCCAGCCCTCTGCTGTGGCCAGGGAGTGCAGTGGAGGATGGCCCAGGTGCTTGGGCCCTGCACCCCATGGGAGACCAGGAAAAGCACCTGGCTCCTGGCTCCCGCCATCGGATCAGCGCGGTGCGCCGGCCGCAGCGCGCCGGCCGCGGCGGCCATTGGAGGGTGAACCAACGGCAAAGGAAGACCTTTCTCTCTGTCTCTCTCTCTCACTGTCCACTCTGCCTGTCAAAAAATAAAAAAATAAATAAAATAAATAAAATAAATAAAAAAACCTCTGAAATCCATGCCTAACTTTTTTTTTGACAGGCAGAGTTAGACAATGAGAGAGAGAAAGAGAGAGAGCGAGAAAGGTTTTCGTTCCATTGGTTCACTTCCCAAATGGCTGCTACGGCTGGCGTGCTGTGCCGATCCGAAGCCAGGAGCCAGGTGCTTCCTCCTGGTCTCCCATGGGGTGCAGGGCCCAAGCACTTGGGCCATCCTCCACTGCCTTCCTGGGCCACAGCAGAGAGCTGGACTAGAAGAGGAGCAACTGGGTCTAGAACCGGCACCCCAACCGGGACTAGAACCCAGAGTGCCGGCGCCGCAGGTGGAGGATTAGCCTAGTGAGCCACAGTGCCAGCCATGCCTAGCTTTTTTATAATATGCATTTCCATGAACATTTTTAAAGGCCCTGGAGTGTTATCATGTAGGTGTTTATCTATATACTACTTGAATGAATCTTAATGTTTTTATTTAAATTAAATGTAATTACAATAGACAGAAGTCTACTAGCCATAAAGATAAGTTAACATTATAAATAGATGTATCACATTAAAACAAAAATATTTAGCCCTGTACTACCTGAAAATATTCTTACACACTCTGAGCGATGTCCTACTTGGGAAGGTAAGCATGGCTTTGGTAAGAACCCAAACTGTGGAGTCAAAAGAGTTTGAATTCCAAATCTACCAATTCCTGTGACCTGGAACCAGATTATTTTCCTTGTTGCACCTCAGTTTCCATACCTTTACTATGGGTATAATAATAGCACCTTCCTCTAATCCTGACTCTTAAACTCAGTGAATTGATATATAATATCTTCCATGGAGTGTCTGACCAGGAACATGCATTCAATCAAAGCTATATGTTGTAAATGAGAGAGTGGTTCCAAAAGAAATATTTGAACTGGACTCAACACTAAAGTGATAAGTGGCCTTCAGATGATGGAGGATTTTTCTGGAATGGAGATTCTTTCCCTTGGGTCACTGTCTAGTCAGTCAACTCATTTGCTTTGATTCTCTTTCAGGTCTTTGGATTCTTGAACTTCATCCTCTGGGCTGGAAACATATGGTTTGTTTTCAAGGAGACTGGCTGGCATTCCTCTGGACAGCGGTATCTTTCCGACCCCATGGAGAAACACTCCAGCAGCTATAGTCAGGGTGGTTACAACCAAGATAGCTATGGGTCAAGTGGTGGGTATAGCCAGCAGGCCAGGTTGGAGCCATCCTCAGAGGAGTTTGGCCAGCAGCCTAGTGGTCCTACTTCCTTTACTAATCAGATTTAAAAGAGCAGCATTTGTATTCTTCTGGAGATAGCCTCACCACTTTCCATTTTAGTGGCAGAAGAATTTTTTATGAGTTTCGATCAATTATTAATGCAGAGAGTGTGGAATGTAAATCAGAGAGCTGTGGTCCTCATTAAGGCAGAAAGGCCTGGGTCGTGATAAATGGTACTTAGAGGTGAGACTACATAAGGAAATATATTATTAATCATAGACAGCTAATTGGAGAGAATACCTTGTTATATACACAGATACTTTTATGTCATTTTGTATGTGTGTAGAGATAGTAAGAGCATTTTGTAGCTTCAAGTCTCTAGTATGTAATATGCATAAAGTAAATTAAATAGCACTGAGTTTTCCTATGCATTTTGATGCAAAAGATGTTTTAAGGATTCCTAAAAGACAATTTGGTGTATCACAACATGCATGCATTATTTTTTAGTTTTAGGCCTTGTAGGATTGTGCATCTCTAAATATTTGTTTCAGACAATTACTCTGTGTTTTTTACTTGATCAATCAGTGCTTAAATGATTTAATGCATGAATAAGCGTTTTCTCACACAATGAACATTTCAACTGTATTTATTAAAATTTTCCAGTCTGCACCCTGAATTTGTTAAATGAATGTTTAAAGTAAACAGATTCACTACTTTATATACTTTACGAGTTGTCTCTTTGGCTTTACCAAGTTTCTGAATGCATTGTAACTAAGGTTTCGGGGATATTGTCCTATTAGTAGATATACAGTGAAATATATATATATATAGTAATTGCCCAGTATCTATCCTATTTACTTAACTAAATATTTACATTCTTTTAACTTTCTATGGTGTTTTGTGACTTTTATTCTGTGGACCATAAAATTTAAGACCCAGTAATTGTTTGTGTTTATGTAGAATAATGGAGATGCAGATACAGATACTGTGGTCAAGAATTGCTATGAGGATAAAATAAAATTAAAAATAAATTAATTAATTAATAAAAAAAGAATTGCTTTGAGGAAGCATCAACCTATAAAGGTTATTCTGTAAAACCTACACTACCAGCTAAATGTTTAAATCCTATTTATTTCTAAAGCTAACATGTTTCTAAATCTAATTATTGGAAATTCTCAAGTCACAGCTCAGCTTACTAATTCTGATTGGAATGTAGCCTATAAATTAGAAGTGGCTTCCTTGTGCCATTCTGTATCCCTAAGAGGATTCTCACAGAATATTCCCAAGAATGTATTCATTATCAAGAAAATGCCAATCTTCAGCTCTTTGTTTTAACTCAATTGAAACACAAAGGCCCAATAGGAGGGAAAACAGAGCATCTGTATTTCCAGATCCAAGTCGTTACTGATGTGTAAACTCTTTGTGTGATCTGTGATGTTGGAAGCATTTTAGCACAAAGCAATCTCGTGTCTTAGATGATATGTGTAAACAGTTTCTATATCCTGTTGGATAGGCCTGTATTGTGATATCTATTTGACCTTAATAAAGTTATTGCATACAATATTGACTGGATGATGAAGAATTACAATGACAGAACCTGGTAAGCTTTAACCAGGAAAGAAAAAAGGTAAAATATACAGTGGTTCTAATCTCTTCCCCTGTCTTTGTTCAGTGAACCTACTGCTGCTCATTCATTCATTCCACCACTCTAAGACCTCCTGCACACTCAATGCTAATCAAATCACCAGGGATAAAATAGCACAAGTAGAATGAGGCCATATAAATTAACAGCTTCAGACCTAAGGACTGCAAAGAGTTTAACAGAACATGTGGGAGAGGAAGATGTCCCAGGTGGAGGAGAGCCTGCAAGAGTTGGATATGCAGAGTTGCCTGAATATAATAAGCAAGGGTGGTTTTGAAAGAGATGAGATGATGATGGGCAGGTGCACGATTGAAACTTGCTTGGACATCATGACCTGAAATTCTGCCTTTATGCTAAAGAAACTAATGGAAAGCATTAAAAGATTTTTTTAAGCAGAGAGAAATGATGACAATAGCATGTTCAAAGGATTTCAGTACTGAGAATTGAGGAGGAGGAGAAGGGGGTATGGGTAACCTGAGGATGAGGAAATAAACCTTAACTCCTAGTAGCTGTGAGGCAGAGGGCTAGCAATGGGAGAGGAGAACTGACATGAGCTCTCCCTCCCTGGTTCCCTCCCCTGCTCATTTGCTGGGGTAGTGGCTGTCCAGGAGGAGAACATGACCTCTGCTTCACAAACTCCCATGAGCTCTTAAACTAGAGAAATCCTTAAAATCAGCAGTGATTTTCACCAGACTTAGCACTTCCAAAATACACAGGTGCTGTGACGTATGGAAAGACATTGCATCTAGCCTGCCACAGACTTACAACAGAGAGCGGCTGTAACCCAATGGGGATTTCACTGAACTGGCTTCATTCATTCTGGTTTCAAGAGCAGAGCGTAAATTTGACCTTGTGGAAAAGGGAGGTGATGGGTGGAGTGGGCAAGCCCGGATCTGTGTATTCAACAACCCATTTCGGAAGCTTGGCTTCACTACTCACCAGTTGAGTTTTTGGATTTGACTTCACTTTCTTAAGTGTTCCTTTGGGAGGAGATATACGATGTGGGTAAGAAGGGTGGGCTCTGAGATCTGCTGTCTGTGTTAGAACCTCTGCACTGCCATTTACCCAACATTCCTCTTTCTTCTCCATCAGTGCTCCCTCCAAAACCCAGGACCCACTGGCCTGCCTTCTCTCTTCTCTTCCTGCCTTCCCTCCCCCTTTCTTCCCTTTGATTCTTTTTTCCTTCTATCTTCTGCTTTTGTTTGTTTTTAGTCCAGAAACTTTCATGAAGTCACAGCCAACAGGCAAGCACTGCTTGGGAAGCAGGCAAGTTAACAGCCCAGGAGATCACCTTCAACCACTGGGGGATGTGGGCAGGGCAATGAATGCCTCTGGCAAGATACTTAACCTCTCATTCATTCCACTGCACATCTTATCTGCCTCTTAGAATTAGGATCAAGCAGCTTCTAGCTCACAGCAGGAACTGTCTGGATTTGGGGTCTTCTAACATCAGAGCCAAAGACAAGGGCTTGGCTCCAAGTGGTTTGCTTAGGAGACAATTCCAGAATGCAGGGGTGAGTGAGTGAGTGGGGAGAACGAGACAGGCAAGGAGGGAAAGTCAATAAAATGGTGTGCTCCTGCTGTTGCTGGTAAAGGCAGGAAGAAATCAATCCTTTTATCATCTCTAAGAGTATTCAGAATATATCTGGCAATTTCCCATCAAGGGACAGGAGTTTTCATCTCCTAACCCCCAGGCCCAATTGGTTGAGCTGTCCAAAGTGAAGGTAACTTTCCCAAATTTCCCAATTGCACTTGCCCTTGAACAGATCAGGCCCCTAGCTCTTCAGATAAATAAAAGCCTTGGGTGCTAACATCTATTAGGCAGAAGGATAGTAGAAGGGAGACAGCCTCAGTCTTATCACCATGCTCCTCTCCCCCATTTGTCTTGGAAGGTGCATGCTTCCCTTCTATCGGTGGCTAAAATTAGAGGCTGGCCAAGGGAAAGAAACACAAAGTCTTAAAATCACTCATTGAAGTGATCATTGAATATCACTATTAGTCTGTAAAATGGAACTGCAGATAATCCCACATCATGAGGTAGGACAAGAATCAATCCACCCTTGTGTGAGAAATGTTAATTAACTGCGTAGCACACAGCACAGGGAGTTGGTACAATAGTTGGCTTTCGTCACTAAAACAAATGTCTGAAAGAAGCTATTTATAAAGGAAGAAGATCTAAAACAGGATGATCACAGTTTTGGAGGTTGAGGATCCAAAAATGGGTGGCCCTACTGGGCAGGCATCTGAAAAGGGTAGCAGATGTTAAATGCATGTAAAGAAAGGATTACATGTTGAGCCAGACAGCAGAGAAAGCCACTGGGCCCAGGATACTCCTTTATAACCAATTCTTCTACAAGAACTACAGTCTGATACACCCTCAATGACCTAAGGACCTTTCAATGGGCCCACCTGCTAAACACCTGATACAAACCATCATAATTGGGTCAAGAATTCCCCTTTAAGCAATAACTATTAACATAAGACTTTGGGAACCAAGTCTTCGGCACACGAGCTTTTGGGAAAACACCAGAGTTAATATCCAAATCATATCAGTATGATATTGAACAGTGAGGATCTATACACACTTCTTAAGTAAACCTGAGTTTTTACAAGTCAAATTTCTAATTGTACTAAGGTGAGCAAAGTAAAGTCTCTAACATCTTTGCAACTAACACAGGAAGTTGAAAGATACAAATAGCAGGCAAGTAAATCAGCAAAATACACAAGAATAAATTTTGATAAATGCTATGAAGGAAAGAAACAAGGCCAAGTGTAGGGAGGAATGGGATAAGGCTGACAGTGAAACCCAGTCTCAAGTGATAACATTCCAACTGAGAAGTGAAGACATGAGCTAGTAAGGAGTCCATCCTGGGCAGAACATTTCAGGCACAGGGAAGACTTCATCCAAGGACCTAAGGTGGAAGATCACTCAGTACCTTCTCAAGACTTATAAGGATAAAGCTAGTAGGACCGGAACACACAAGAGAGGATCGGGGTTATGAGAGACTATGGAGATCACAGGAAATGGACCTCATTCTAAGTGAATGGAGATGCCACTAGGTAACTAATCAGGGCAATGATTTAAAATTTTCACTTTGAGGAGACCCCTCGTAATTTTCTGACTTTAAGATTGTGCTATAGTTACACAATAAATCATCCTTGTGGAGAGCAAAGTGAATGGTTCATGGGACTCTATACTATTTCCACATTGTCTTGTAAGTGAGGATGCAGAAAAAGGATTTACTATTTACTTCATCAATTCACTCAACAGCTGTTCATTAAGCTCCTGCCATGTGCCAAGCTCTCTTTTAGGTGCCAAGGATGTAAATTTGGAGAAGATCGGTGTTACCCACGTATTCACGGAGTGTATTATCTTGTGCTGGGCAATCAGGGCATCAACAGATAAGTAAGATATACCAAAATAAGGTTAAGGAAGATATAAAACAGGGTGAAGACATGAAGAAAAGCAAAAGAGTTGAAGGAGGATGGGCACAGGTTGAGAAGCCAGAGGCCAAGACTGGCAGCCCAAACTAGGATGAGGGCTGCATCACTGTTCACCAATAGTGCAGGCCAACTCTAGGAGCTTAAATATTGGTGTGGGGAACTCTCAAATACCAGCTGAAGAGTCAGTCTCCACCTACACATAGCACTTTGGGTTCTTCAAAATCCATGACATCTGTGACTGCATTTAATCCTATCTACAGTGTAGCTTAAAGGTAGATGCCATTGTCTACACTTGAATGCAAGTATCCTAAATTGAGTTCCCAGGTAGCAGACCCTGAGACAAGAATTCAAGGACAAGTTGAGGTTTAGAGAAGTGAGTCACAGAACAGAGGGAAGCCAATTATTAGTCTTGCTATGGAGAGGGTTAGAGTTGTAGAGAACTGGGTCTCTCTCACACTGGAGAACATGCAACATACTACAAAACACCACTCAACAGTTAACAGAATTAAAGAGCAGATGAGCTGTGGTGTATATCCACCCAGTCCCACCACATGATCGCTGCTCTGGCAGAGTGGTAATCCCCCAGCACTTTCCAGCCATCCTGTGAATGGGCTTTACAGATAGAGAAAGTGCTGGGCAGCATCACAGGTGCTGCACACTGGGAGTCATTAGGTCAGCATGCACTCAGGGATGAGTAATGAGAGCAAATGAACGGACCACTAACAGCATCTACCACAGTGAGGTTAGGCAATGTTAAACAGCATGGCCAATGTGATGACAATAAGAAGACTAGAATGTAAGTCCCTTTTTGGCTCTAGATATTTCTATCTGCATTAACTCCCCAGTATTCCTTGCATATAGATATGACTTCAACATCAGTGTGTCACTTGACTTTATCTAGATGTTCAAAGATGCATTATTTAGTAACTATAAAGTAATAGGTAATATTTATTGTGTACTTACAACATGCCAGCCCTTGAGCTAAGTAAGCATTTTGCATTTAAACACACAGCACTGTTATCACTACCCATATTATTCCTATACAATAGTTTATAGAAGCGAAGTTCACAAAAGTCAGGTAATGGCAAAAATCCTTGTGAGCAACTTCAATAATAGAAATAGTTCCTCATTGTTACTATCCACTGGGTACTCTGCACACAGAACTATATTATAGGCTTTTTAAAGTGTATTTCTTTATTGGGTTTATTTGAGAGGCAGTGACAGATCTCCCATCCTCCAGTTCATTCCCCCCAAATGCCTGTCATGGCTGGGACTGTGCCCAGTAGAAACTGGGAGCCAGGAACTCCATCCAAGCCTCCCATGTGGGTGTCAGGGGCCCAACTTCTTGAGCCATGACCTGCTGCCCTCCAGGGTGTGCATTACCAAGGAGCTGACAAAGGGATCCAGAACTTCTACTCCAAACACTCACCCTTGTCGGATACTATATATCCATGTTCCTACTTACACTCCTAGGAAATACA